AATTCAAAATATCCATTTTAAAGGAACTCAGTTATCTCCCAGATAACAGAAAAATAATTCAGAAATGTTTCACATAAATTATTAAAAAATATATTTTTTTAATCAAACAGAAATCTTGGAAGTGAGAAATAAATTTGCTGAACCAAAAAATTTATTAGAGGCCCTAAATAGCAGAATGGATCAAGCTCAGGAAATAATTACTGAGCTTGAAGAATGGCTATTTGAAAATATGCAGTTAGAGAAAAAAATGAAAATTAAAGAGAGTAAGCTACAAGATATAGAAAATAACCTCATCAGGCCAAATCTCAGAATTATTGGTGTTCAAAAGGGATTTGAGCAAGAATGAGGGGAAGGAAAGTTTTTCAAATAAACAATAATATAAAACATTTTAAAATTTGACAAAGTGATAAACATCCAGGAACAGATATGACTCAATTTTAAATTAAAAGTCATAGAGTGGTTGAATGGATTAAAAAAAAAAAAAAACAAGATCTAAATATTTAATGCCTACAAGAAACCCACTTCACCAATAAAGGCACATGTAGCCTGAAAATGAATGGGGGGAGAATGATATTCCGTACAACTAGAACAAAAAAAAAAAGAGGAGGAGCAGCAGCTATACTTAGAATAAAATAGACTATTAGAAACAGCTATACACCAATAAATTTGAAAACCTATTGAATATATTCCTGGGCATATATAACCTGACAAAATTGAAGCATGAGGATATTGAGAACCTCAACAAACCAATAACAAGTAATGAGATTGAGGGCATAACAAAAAGTTTTCCAACAAAGCAAAGCCCAGAATCTTCTGGTTTCACTGTTGAATTTTACCGAACATTTCAAGAAGAAAGAATACCAATTCTACTCAAAGATCATAGTAGAACCAAGAACAAACACCATGCAATTATTTCAATAGATACCAAAAAAAGCATTCAATAAAACTCAATAATCCTTTATGGTAAATATCCTCAAAAAACTGAATGTAGAAAAAACATACCTCAAGAAAATAAAGGCTGTATAAGACAAGCCCACAACTAACATTGTACAGAATAGGGAAACAGTGAGAGTCTTTTTTATATCTAGAACAAAACAAGGATATTCATTTTTACCATTTTTGTTTAGCATAATACTAGAAGTCCTGGCCAGAAAAATTAGTCAACAAAAAGAAACATAAGACATCCAAATTGGGGAAAAAAATCTCAAATTAGTCTTGTTTACACATAACATGATCTTATACCTAGAAAAACCTAAAGATAACATCCAACAAAGTTAGAACTTATAAATAAATTCAGTACAGTGGGAGGATACAGAATCAACATAAAAAAAAAAAAAAACAGTAGCAGTTAAATACTAATTCAGTTAACAATCTAAAAAAGAAATCAATAAAACAATCCCATTTGCAGTCGCTACAAAGAATATAAAATGGCTAGGAATCAATTTAACCAAAGATATAAAAATCCTATAGGATAAAACTACAAAATACTGATGAAAGAGATTGAAGAGAACACACAGAAATGGAAAGATATTTCATGTTCATGAACTTGAAGAATTCATATTGTTAAAATGACAGTACTGCTCAAAGTTGTTTACAAATTTAATGCAATCCCTATCAAAATACCAACATTATTCACACAAATTTTTAAATTTCTATGGTTTCTATGGAATCACAAAAAGATCTTGAATAGCTAAAGCAATTCTGAACAAAAAGAACAAGGCAACACACTACATGACTTCAAAATATACGAGGAAGCTATAGTAAATCGTACTAGCATAAAATCAGACACATACATCAATAGAACAGAATAAAGAGAACCCAGATACAAACCTAAGCATTTACCATCAATTCATTTTTTCTTTTAACAAAGCTACCAAAAACATACAGGAGAAAGGACAATCTTTTCAATAAATGATTCTGAGAAAACTGGATAAACACAGGTAGAGGAATGAAACTAGATCATATCTCCCACCATATATAAAAATGAAATCAAAATGACTTGCAAACCTTAACCGAATACGTGAAACACTAAAACTATTAGAAGAAAACATAATGATATGCTTCAGGGCAATGGTCTGGGCAAAGAATTTTTGTGTAAGACCTCAAAAATACAGGTAATACAAGCAAAAATAGCTGAATGGGATTATATCAAGCTAGAAACATTTTGCACAAAAAAGGAAATAGTCAATAAAATAAAGACATAACTTAATTGGGAGAAAATGTTTGCAAACTCTCTATCTGACAAAAGGGTAATAACCAGAATACATAAGGAGCTGAAACATCTCAATAGTAAAAATATAATAATCTAATTGCAAAATAGGCAAAAGATCTGAATAGACTTTTCTCAAAGAAGACATACAAATGACCAAACATATTTTTAAAAAATGCTTAACCTCACTAATCATCAGAAAAACGCAAATCAAAACTATAATGAAATATTTTACCCTATTAAAGTGGTATTTATTTAAAAAAAGAAGAATATTGATGCTCGTGGAGAAAGGGAAACCGTTGCGCACTGTTGTTGCAATTGTAAATTAGTACAGCCAATATGGACAACTGTGTGAAGGTTCCTCAATAAACAAAAATTACAACTACTTTATGATCCAGCAATTCCACTACTGAGTATATACCCAAGAGAAAAAAAAATGAGTAAATCAAAGAATTATCCGCATCCCATGTTTATTGTAGCACCCTTCACAATACCCAAAATATGGAATCAACCTAATTGCCCATCAATGTATGAATGGATAAAGAAAATGTGATACAAATACACAATGAAATATTATTCAGCCATAAAAAGGATGAAATTCTGTTATCTGCAACAACACTAATGAAACCAGGTATCAGTATATTAAGTGAGATAAGCCAAGGAAAGCAAGACATATATCACATATTCTCAATCATATGTGGGAGCTAAAAAAGGAGATCTTATAAAGCTAGATGGTAAATTGGTGTTTTCCAGAGACCAGAAAGGGTAGGGAGTAGAAGGGGTTGAAGAATTGTTGATTAATGGGTACAAACTAACAGCTTTATAAACGAAATAACACCTAGTGTTTGATAGATCAGTAGGCTGACTATAGTTTACAATAATTTACTGTATATTTCAAAACAGCTTGAAGAAAATAGTTTGAATGCTTCTAGCATAAAAAAGACAAATATTTAAAGGTGATGAATACTTCAATTATATGAATTCAGTGTTTGCAATGTATGCATATATTATTTATATTCTGAAAATGTGTACATGTTTTATATAAATAAATAATAAAATTAACAATTTTGCATTTATGATCATTAGGGATATTAGACAATAGTTTTCTTGAACTATAAATCTCTGGTTTTGGTATCAGGGTAAAGCTCTTATCATAGGATGTATCAGAATAATTAGTGTAGTACTGGCACTGTTTCTTCCCTTAACTGTTTGGTCAAATTCATCAGTGAAGCCACTTGGGCCCCCAAATTTGTTTCACAGCTATGGGAGCATTCATGTTAACAATTTTTTCTTGGGTGAGATTTGGGTAATTTTAGCCTTTTCAAATATTTGCAAAATTAAATTGCAGCATTTATTGGCTTAAAGCATTCATGATATCATTTACTATTCTTTTAATGCCTGCAGAGCCTGCAGTGATCCAGTATCTATGTTCTTGATCTTGGCAATTTGTATCGTCCATTTATTTTTACTTATAATTCTGGCTAGAGTTTATCCATTTTATTGGTGTTCTCCTTCCTTTGTGTTTTATTAATCTATTCGCTGTTCTATCCATCCATCAAACTATTCATTTACATTTTAAGAATAAATTTAAGAGTACATTTTAACAGGTGCTGTTGATACAACACAAAAGAAGGCATCATATCTGTGCTAGGAACAAAAAATTCAGTGAGGGAAAGCTAAAGTGTTCAGAAGAATGAGCTTTTCACAACATGCTGTCTATTTTGTCCAGTGTTCAGTTGAGTTTAGCTTTGCTCAGAATAGGATTTAGGTGAGATTAGTTTTAAACATCCCCAAAAATAAAGAGAAAATGTTGGAAGAACACAATAATTATTACCATCAATTACAAAGCTTTTTCTAAAAAGATCTGGATGGACAGTCCATTTAACTCTTGAAATTCTACTGCCTTAATGGCTGTACACACTCCATTTCCTAAGAGAAACATGGAGTACTTATATATTTAATAAAGACAATGACAAGTTCATGGTATACATTTTCCTATAGGTAAAACATGAAAAATCAGTCAATTTTATATGGTCCAGTATCTTGGAATTTATGAGATTACTAACTGCAACAATAAATAGAAAACAACATGCACTCTACTCTAAAAACTATTTATTTATTTAAAATCCCAATTCAACATATTATAATTCAAGTCACAAACTTAGATAGTGGAATAATTTTAATATTAACAAATAATTTTTAATCAAAACTTTACAGTAATTCAAATATAACCTTTAAAAGCTTAACATAAAATTCATATTTATAAGACCCTTGAATTTTTTAAAGTTGCATAAATTATATAGTAAGCATTCACTATTACCTGTCTGCCCTTTGCAAATAAGCATGAATCAAATAAGTAATTTATTTTGTTTAGCCAATCAAGGAATAAGAAACTAAAAAAAAAGTCTACTTCACTATTTATTGATTTACCTTCTTGCTGCTCAAAAATGTGTGGATGCTTTAGCATTCCCTAAGCGAGTCTAATAAATCTTCAATCTTTATGCTGATGGAGACAACTAAAAAGACCATTCCACTGCTTGGTTATTAGATCAGCTTCTGCTTACAATCTTAAAACTAGCATTACCACTTCAAATTCCAATATGTTAGCTCTCTTGATCCAATTTTCTCTGTCCACTTAATAACCTATTTTGAATCTTTAACTTTTCATATCTCTAACCGCTAATGGCACTGTCCTCTGAACTCTTGTCCATCTATTGTTCTGAAGGTATCATTCCATTCGCCTACCTTTTTCACCCATATTCAGTATTATTCTTTTATTTCTAATTTTCAGAAGCAGCTCTTCCTCTACGAAACCACTTCCAACAACGTTCTGTGGGCAGTTTTCTATTATCTTTATTCTATACAGTAATGAGGAGAGTCAAAATAATAACAGTAAAGAAGAAGAATATAAATAAACCAAATTATTTGAGTATGTAACAGACATCAGTTACCTACCTCTCATTTCTAATTTTTACAATACTCCTGAAATAGTTGTTTGTCTTAGCTTAAAATAAAGACATTTAGGCTTAGAAAATAAAATTCTTTTCCCAAGATTGTCTAATGCTTGTTCAAGATTTAAAAGGAGGTCTGCAAATAACAGCAACCACTTATTGAGTACATCCTAGTTATCAAGCAAAATAGATGCATTATCTCATTGAACACTAACAAGAACTCCTGAGCTAGAGACTATAATAATCATTATATAATTATCTCCCTTTTCTTAGTTTCATTGATGGACAAAGAAATGTTCTTAAGGTCAAATGTTCAGTGAGTAGAGATTTTTTTATTCAAATCCAAGCAGTCTGGCATTGGAGCCGGTGGCCTTAATCACCCCTTAATACTGTATAGTTTTACTTTAATAAGCAATCTTACATACAAACATTTTTTGATTGATTTTGTCACATGCATATTCTTGTTCTTTTTTTCATTAGCCAGTACTTCAGGGAAGCAAATGTAAGCAGGATATATTAATGTCAACAACTACATCGGCTCCAAAAGGAATATATAATGCAAATCAATATCTGTATCTATCTATCTATTACCTATCTAAATGTCTATTTCTCTATAGAGAGAGACAGAAAAAAACACAGAAAGAAAGAAAAGGAAATAAGAAAAGGAACCATGAAATAAACTTTAGATGTGATTATTTTTATTTAACTAACACTTACTCTACTGTCATTGTTTGTAAATTCTGATTTTCCTAATTAAAAAATGATTTTAAATTATATTCTCTAACTTACCAAGTATATAACTTCCTCATGAAGGCCAGCTTTACTATTGCTCTCTTTTTCCTGGACCCTAAATCCACCCTATATTTCAATCTGATTTTAATTACTGTCTTTGAAAATTTACCACATATAACTTAGAAATACTTTTGGCATCATTTGAAATAAATGTAGACAAAAAACATCCTTTAACTGTTACAGAATTCTAAAATATTTGCATTCAAATTTCTTCTTATGTGAATATATTCAGTTTTATAAAGTCAGAGTGAGTTTCTAAGCTGACTAGAATAGATATGGCTCAATCAGCCACAATTCCATTAAAGCTGCTGTTATTTTTATATACTAAAATATATTTTTCATCTCATAAGTCATTTCCAAATTCAAGCCATCAGTTTATTTTCTACATATAGAGTCAAAGACAAGATTGAAAATCAACTCAATATATTTCAAATGGTAGGCAAGTTAGAACAACAATTTTTACTTGAGCTGATCAAGGTCAACAACTCAAGCACAATATATTCTCAAAGAATATTCTCCTTGGTAATCCTCTTCAGAAATATGTCGAAAATCAAGTGTGCCTGGATATCGCTATTTTTGTGCAGGTTAATGCCAAATATCCAAGTCATATATATGTTCAACGATAAGACAAAAAATTGATTGGCATTCTTTTTGAAGAGTCCTTTAGCGTATTATCATTTTCATAACTTGAATAGTCCTTTTTATTTCATATTTTGTAGCTTATTTTCAAAATATTAACAAAATTAATATGTATTTTAATCTATATGGCAATGAGCTATTTTTAACACACACACATAGACACAGAATTCAAAAAAATCACTTGGCCTGAAGCACAGGATAGAAGAATACTATCACTATCCTTTCAAGTGGGAAATGCAATTTTAAAAACAATGTTCAACTGATATCTGGATTTCAACACATGAAAATACCTGCACTAATATGTAATAATCTTGAGGGATTATAAAATACAGAACAGAGAACAGATATAATAATATCTTTAGGTTTCATTTCCACAAAACCTACAAATCTATTTTAGCACTTAAGTTAAATGGCTTCAAGAGGGTCATAAGATTACACACTTTAAAAATAGAAATGATTGCAATTTATTGAATGAGGAAGAAAATTGCCTCATCTTTGATGGGCTGAATCACATGTTTAATTAGAAGACATAGGAAATATCTCAGAACTAAAGAGATTCTCAGGGTCTGCTGGCCTACAGAAAACAAAGCATAGTTCAGTAATCTCAATGGAACAGCTCACAGTCCTAACCTATAGGCTTTATTTACATAGCTCAAAAGATTACCACCCAGTAACAGGCTATTATGTCTTATATTTGCTTGGAAGCAACATCAAGTTAATCCTTTTACAGCTAACATTTGATTTTTATTTGCCAAGAGCGATTTTCAAAGCATTTGACTAAATTTTTGTCTTCAGTGAGAGTCAGAAGGCACGAATTTAAGTAAACATGAAGTCACAACTAAGAATCACCAAAACTTATTAACTTGTAAGATTTCTAAGTTAAAACAGAATGAAATATATACAATAAAAGACAGAACCAAATACTGAAAAAAATTAATAGAGTCAAATGTAGAAAAATATTTAGTTCTGCATGGAAAATAAATAGCTTCATTGTATAACAATGATTTATTCTCATATATGAAAATACGGCTAGTAAAATGTTCTGTTTAGTTGCCAAATAGTAAAAGATTAATGTTCTAAAAGACTCAGTGCTTTTAAATTAAGAATAAATCGTGGCCATATTTAGCATTACAATAATAACACCTGGAATAGTCGATGAATGAATTAAAATAATAGAAGATAAATTTAAATGTTTATTATAGAGCCAAACTTTTCTGAAATATTTATAATACTTATAGAAATATTTTCTCTAAAAAATACCCTAAATAATTATATCCATCTGAATATAATATCATGTTTACATATTTGTAGAAATCTGAAACTTTTAAAGGCATGAGACCTGTAAAATTAAAGAATGTTTAAATATATAAATATGTATTTTCAATCTATAGATCTATGCAGACATGGTCTATGTTTTATGTAAAATAACCTATGTATTATATAAACATATAAACCTATATATTAAAATATATAAGTATTTATATATAATATATATATCATACATATATATAAAATATATATACATGTATGCATATATAAATAATTGATATATAAACATGTAAACCCATGTATTAAAATATATGTACATATATACTGTGTTTTAAAAAGATATATCCATAATATATATCATTTTCTAATAGAGAATGATACTGTTTGAATTTTTAATTTTGATTGTTCTAGATGTCTAGTAATAAAGAGACTCAGGAATTTTAAAAAACCACTCACATTGTGAGAAAAAAAAAATGTGTGTTTGAAAACCTGACTCTAACATCATATTATCCTGCATATTAACTGAACAAAGCACTTGCTCTTTTTTGATGCCAATGCTGATTTTTTGTTTGTTTACTTAAAACATCATTTTCATAGATACCCAAAAAGCAGCTTTGATGTCTGTCTAGTTCATTAATAGTTTTATTAATTCAGCTAGTCATCAGGTGCAATTCATCAATTGTACAACCCTTTGTGTTCTATTTTTGGTAAATGACTCTTCTCTGGAATTTAAATTATGAAGGAAAAATGGCTGACTAGTCTGTATTTCTCAATTTATTCATGTTCAGTGAAAAGCTATTCATCAGCGTAAACTCTGCTGTGAGTTCAAATCAAATTTGAGCCACCTGGGAGTAAACAAAATGGTTTTTTTTTCCCTAGAACTTGGAAGTAGATAATAATAACACATTTTCAAGAAACTCAGGATAGCAATATGTTTAAATGAAATAAAATAAAGATGATAAGTTATCGAATTTTTCCACTATATCAGATACTTTGTCCATGCACTAAGAGCTTCTGTAATATTTTAGTAGTTTTATTTCTACCATATAATGGTGATTACTTTTATATCTTGCAGGTATAAAATAATCAGCTATTCACCATACCCAACAACATGTGCAAACTCTATAAGACTATCATTCTACCACCTTTCTGTTAAAAGATTTGAACTATTTATGGAATTGCTCGTTAAAACAAATTATTCACTTTCAGGATTTTTATTAAGCATTCAAAATCAACATTCCTATTAATATAAAATACAGAATTTACCTACTTGAGTTTACAGGTGCTTAGACACTTTAAAATTAGACATTTTTTTCATAATAAATCTAAGGCTAACAGATGCTTATGGAGTGGGATGAGGCTGATATGTATTTCAGAGAGAATCTACAGATTTTCTCTAATAGTGGAACTAATTCTCACCTATTTTTGAGCACCCCTGGCAATATAAGATTATATCTGGTGCTAGAGATTTTTGGGCTCATGCATGCATGTCTAAATAAATTATCAGTAGGTTAGAAACAAAGGAACATAGCGAAATGCTAAATTGTACATTTTCCTTTTACTAATTCTTCTTTAGGACTCAAAGCTCTTTGGATTCAGCATATAAAAATGCTTATATGTATTCCATAGTGCAGGTGATCCACAGTCCTCTTCAGGAAAGAGAATTCCACAATCTGTTTAATCTATTAGAAAACTGAATACTCTTTTATGAACTGTAATTTTTAGGAAAGTATTATGCATACACATGTGGGATATCTTATGAGAAGTGTTTGTACTAAGTTTTAAAACAGGATGATTTATGAAGTTTTCTGTTTAATACTTATCAGTAGCATACTTCCAAAGCTTCTGAGGCTATCCCTTTTGCGTCTCATGAAGCTAGATAAAGCCCAAATTCACTTTCTCCCAACTCAGCTGTAAGAGTTGCTACTGTGTGATGGAAGAGACCAAAATGTGCAAGAGCTACAACCCTGTGAGGAGCCTGCAGTGCACTGCGACTTGAGTTTCAATCTGAGCTGTATGAACACAGCTCATTGTACCCCAGTGACCATTATCCTTGGAAGTGAGGGTAGGAAGTGAAAGGAGACAATTCCAATGCTTTTTCTTGAAGTTATGTTTTTAAAAATGTTTAAAACATCTTGAAGTTCTGAAAAATATTTGTCTTTGCAGGTGATGGCATTTTCTAAAATATTATTACAAAATATATGAAAAGAGTATTGTGTTTGTCATAATAAATCAAAGATCTTACACAGTAATACAATAAAATC